TTTTTTGAGACGAAGTCTCACTCAGTTGACTGGCTAGAGTGCAGTGGCACGATCTCAGCTCACTCCAACCTCCGCCTCCCGGTTCAAGCAATTCTCCTGCCTCAGCCTCCGGAGTAGCTGGGACTGCAGGTGCATGCCACCACACCAGGCTAATTTTTTGTATTTTTAGTAGATACGGGGTTTCACCATGTTAGCCAGGATGGTTTCAATCTCTTAACCTCGTGATCCACCCGCCTCAGCCTCCCAAAGTGCTGAGATTACAGGCATGAGCCATAGCTCCCAACCAATTTCCCTTTTTAAAAATAATTAAAGCTTATGGACATTCAGTAATATCTTCAGTGTGGTTACATAGCGTGTCCCTTCATGTTCTCATGTTTACAATGGGGAACCAGTAGCCTGTCTGTGGAAATGATATTTGATTTCTCTTGTACAGATTTTGTAGATCTTCACATTAATTTGTATTACATATATAAGAATGTCTTGCTCAAAATAAGACTTCTCTGAATTCCTCCCAGGCCTTTTATAGACTAGTACTAAACTATTTAATTTCTCTCCCCATTTTTTGAATATCTGAGAGTGCTGTTGAGCCCCTGCTGTGAATTGAGTATTGTGCTTGAGGGTTAATGTTTAGTATCTTAGGTAATCCAACAACCCATTTTACAGATGGAGAATCAAGAAGTTAAGTAACTCTGAGGTCAGTTATTTAAAATGCCAGTGTTGGAGCCCCAGTCAGTATGACTAGAAAACTTGCATTGAAAGAAAACTGCCTGAATGTATTGGCCTGATTCAAGAATTGGGTTTAAACCCCTTAGTGTGGGTTGCAAAACACAGTTTGTGAAACACAAAATGTTTTGCAAGAATAATCTGTATGCATCAAGTGAATGAGTCCCACACTGAGATACTGTAAGGTTTGTATGGCACAACTTATTTAATGTTTGTCATGCTTTAAAAATAGATTCTTTAAACCATTAATCCATGGTGACCCAAATCAGAATGGTTGTGGTTTAGATACAATCAAGGTATAAAGTAGGAGTAATAACAGGGATAATGTTTCATCCCAGATCAATTTAACTGACAGATGCTGCGGACACTGGTTATAGACTGTGTGTTGGATAATACTTCCTTGTTAGCCTTGTCTTTTACTTTAAATATTTTGTTTTCATTTTTTAGGGAGGTGCATTTGTTGAAATTTTCAGTGCTCAAGGAAAAAATCCTGGAGCAAAATGGAAGATCCTTGGCAGTCCATCTGTGATTTGGAAAGTAAGTGTTAGAAATTAGAGCCACGTAAATCAGGGGAAGAAATGTGAGTGAAGGTTATAGAAGAAAGGGCTTGATCAAATTTCAGAACTGTTTTTCCTGTTCTTTTCCTCCAAAACCCTTTCATGACATTGTTGGCTGCAGCTGTCCTAGACACCACTCCTCAGTTGTCTAAGACTTTGGCACACAGGTCATAACCCTCCTCTGTACTCCATGCCCTGCTATATGTCATTTTAGATGACTTCAGTATCTGTAATAAAAACATCTCCAAGCCCTGGGCTTCTCAGTTTCTTGATTTCTTCATCTTTAACAATCCTTTCACTCTGCTTCAGCATTCATCCCTACTGTCTTACCCTGGTCCTTATCACCACAAACTATAGGACCTCTGAAGTTAGTAAGTGAGACATTGAGATGTCCTTTTCTGAACCCAATCTTTATTCTTAAGGTCGCTTGCTCAGTTACTCTACTCTGTTCTTCAACTTCATTGGGACCTTTAGACCATTGACTTTTCTACTTTTCCTGTGTTTCATTTTATTTATTTATTTATTTTCTTTGTCTTCCTTTTCTCTTCAGCCCAGAATCCATCATCCATAATTTCAGTCACTTTCCAGTCAAGACCTTGAATGCCCTTGCACTTTGTTCTTTCACCAAGTCTCTGTATTCTAGTTCCCAGCAAGTCTCAGAATAAGAGTCCTAAAGTCTCAGCCTACTTTTAAGTCATTTGAATATGGGATTTTTTTCCCTGTAGATCTGAAGTTTCAATTTTATAGTAGAAGCCAAAAAAAAAAAATCCTTTGATAACTACTGTTTTCATTTTGTTCTATAGGAGTTTGATAAAGAAGTTAAAAGTTTTGTGTTTGTCCTGGAAGGCAGCAGCCAAACAAATAAAATTCAATTACCAAAGGAAAATAAGCAAATCCGTAAGTAATATTTTTAATATTGAAATTTAATATTTTGGACTCAAAGTTATGCTTTTATGTCTCATAAACAGGCATGTTAGTATGAGTGCTACTGACATCTGTTTATGTAAGGTGATAGAATTTTTTTTTTTTTTAATTTAGAAGGTAACTCTATGCTAGGCACTATGCTAGGCCTTTTAAAAAATATGGCCAGGTACAGTGGCTCATGCCTGTAATCCCAGCACTTTGGGAGGCTGAGGCGAGTGGACCCCAAGGTCAGGAGTTCCAGATCAGCCTGGCCAATATGGTGAAACCCAGTCTCTACTAAAAATACAAAAATTAGCTAGGTGTGGTGGCTTGTGCCTGTAGTCCCAGCTGCTCAGGAGGCTTAGGCAAGAGAATCACTTGAACTCAGGAGTCTGAGACAGGAGAATCACTTGAACCCAAGAGACAGAGTTTGCAGAGAGCTGAGATTGAGATTGTGCCACTGCACTCCAGCCTCGGTGACAGAGTGAGATTCCTTCTTAAAAAAAAAAAAATATATATATATATACACACACACACACACACACACACACACACACACACACAAATTATATCTGTGTGTGTATATATATATATATACACGTGCATACATATATATATGTATTTACCTCACCATCTTCCAGAAATCTAGTATTTTAAAGAAGATTTAGAAGAGAAGAGTATTTAGCAGCCATTAATTGTGATAATAATAGTATTTATTGAGCACTTACTGTGTGCCAGGAGCTTTGTAAGCATTTAATATTTATGAACCCTTAATCCTCATGATAGTTCTTTTACAAATGAACAAACCTAGGTTGGTTCCTCATCAAGGCTAATCTTTGAAATCAGGGTTCCTAAATTATAAGAAATTAATTTATGAGAAAAAAATGTATCAGAAATATGATATAAAGCATTATTATTATTATTATTTTATTATTTTGAGAAGGAATCTTGCTCTGTGAGATGGCGGTCACCTCCTGTGGAAGTCTGACCTGTAGACCCTGACTCAAGGACCGATGAATGAACCCACTCTCACACCATTACAGTGTTTCAGGTGGGCTAGGGATGGCCGTTAGCTGCTTTCAGAAGGTGAAATGCAACCAATCGACCAAGACTACCTGTTCTTCCACACATTTATTCCCTCAAGATTTTATAATAGAGGTTCTAAGTTAACATACTTGTGGATAATTAACATGGTTAAAAGAATAGTTTTAGGACAGTTAAAAACTTTAGGCTCCCAGGCACTGGGTAAATGCTATTAATAGATAATTACTCTTTGATCTTACCCAGAGAGGGCCATCCAGCACAAAATTAACAAGAATAAACAGTTAGAATGGAGACAAAGGGATGTGGGGTAAGGCCATTGATCTTCTCTGTCTCTTTCTTAGCTAACGTTAATGAGGCAGCTGCCTTCCACCTGCCTCAATAAAACTTTTTGGCCTCCAAAAGGTTTGAGATTACAATCTATAACTTTTCATAATAATTAATATTGCTAGCCACCCCAAGTGAATATCAACAGCTCTGTCACCAGGCTGAAGTGCAGTGGCACGATCTCACCTCACTGCAATCTCCACCTCCTTGGTTCAAGCGATTCCCCTGCCTCAGCCTCCTGAGTCTCTGGGATTACAGGTGCACGCCACCACACCTGGCTAATTTTTTGTATTTTTTTAGTAGAGATGAAATTTCACTAGTTGACCAGGATGACCTCTATCTCCTGACACGTGATCTGCCCACCTCGGCCTCCCAAAGTGCTGGGATTACAGACATGAGCCACTGTGCCTGGCTGATAAAAAGCATTATTTAGTGATATGTCAACTCATATGCTTATTACCTTTTAATATTAATCTCTAATTAAAGTATAGATATGAATACGTGATTTAACAAAAACCCAAAGAATCTATTTAAATTCTTATTTACTTTAGAAATTAAGATCAGCATTTTAAAGCAGAAGAAACTCTGAGAGTTAACCCAAATTTATCAGAAGCCCAGTTATTAGCAGAGATAGAGTTACAATTCAAGCCTCTGCCACTAAATCAGACTTTGAGTAAACTGATTGATTAAGGAATATGATTTATCAGAATGATTAACTAGATTTTTCATCAACTGTGTCCTATGTTTTAAATCTAAATTTCAGGTGATTTAGAAAATAGAAATAGTTGTTTTTTATATTCATCATTTACTTATTCCTTCATTCATTAGGACATTTATTGAATATCTACCATGCCCGAAGCTCCATAAAAAGACCTGCTGTTGGTACCTGATTTTATAATTTTAAGTCCGTTTTCTAAACTTATATAGGTTCTGTACTTTACGTAACATTTGTACCATTTCAAGCTACTGCATGCATATTTTAGATTTCTAAGACGTAAACTAGCTATAGAAGTTATAGATGAAATATGATTTATTTTAAAGGGGTTTGCAAATGTTTCTTTCTAAACTAAGAGACTGGAAAGAAGAGATAATCATCATTAAAAATAATTTTTAAATTACTGCCATTTAAAGATTATGCTTTCCTAATAGTTTGTGTGTGTCTGCAATAGCAGGTGTTTTGCATTTCCATATATATTTATACTTACAAATGAGGTAAACGAAGATGATCCAGGGAAACCTATCTGAAGCTGTAGTTTCATCTTGTTACAAGAGTCAGGGGCCATCTTTTCAAGGATATTGATTTTGTAAGACAGATGGATACATTTGACTTTCAGGAACATGACTTTGTTCTTAAGCCAGTGTTACTTCTTTTGTTTTTTTTTTCCCTAACTTATAAAGCCCACCTGTGTTTTCATTTAGCGCATTCAGCATCTATGTACATGGTCACCTTATTAATAAAATCAATCACTTTTAGTAACCTTTGTCATTTGATTCTGAGAAAGATTCCTCCTCTACTAAAGGCTAAATGATTAAATATAAGCTCTGCTTTTCTGTTTTTATCCGAAGGTTTTTTTTTTTTAAGAAACAAACCAAGTTTAATGTATCATAATTACTTTTTAAATGGAAAGATGATGGTATTAATTGTTTAAAAAACCCAAGAAACAGAAGAAT